ACTTTTTTCTGCCTTCTATTTCATCAATCCCATTTTATTTTGTAAATTATGTTTTCTCTTTTGTTCTCTTTTATGCTTTATGAGAAGCATTTTTATGAGAACTGTTGGACAGTCTCTCAAAACTCCAAGAAGGTAAAAGTGCAGCAAATAAAAATAAAATTACGGTTCCAGAAAAGCAGCACTGTGTGATGAAATAGGACTCTGTAGAGATTCCCCTGCCTGATGATTGTACACTTATACACTCATCATTTTGGTTTTTGTGATTTTTTTATTTTTTTGTTTAGCATGCGCATGATGCATCTAAAAAGTTACCTGTGAGCCTGTTTTCAGAGTTAGGTTTTGATTTGGGTTTTTTTCCTTGTTTGGGTTTGTTTTTTTTTTTTTGGGGGGGGGGGTGGTGGTGAGGGGACCATGGGGCTAGGGTGTTTTTTTGTTTTTTGAAGGAATCCGTATGCACCTACTGGCTGATGAGGGATGGCCCTGCCCTGAGGCTGAAGTCTGAGGCTGAAGCCAGCTGAGTGAGGGTTTTGATGATCCAAGTGGTGCACGGCTTCCCAAGTCAAACTCCCAACAGCAGAGTCTGATGGATAAAGCATCATTCAGTGCCTCGGTCTGGCACCCAGGGCATTGCTGCCTTCATCCACTGGGGCAGGAGCATGGCTGGTTCTTGTCCCTGGCCATCCGTTCTGCCTAAGAACTGCCTTGTAGATGCTCTTAACTCATACCTTGTCGAGTAACAGTAATGGCAGGCTCCAGTCACTGGTACATCACCCCAGAACTCTTCACGGAGCAGAAAATGGTGTCTGGAGGAGTGGTGGGAAGGACACTGCCACAGGGGCAGTGTGATGTGGCACCTCTTTCCCTCTGCCCCAGCCTGCTCTGGGCATCTCTCCACAGCTCTCCCCTCTTCTTGATTTTAACTTTTTTTATTTTCAAACCATGTCTATTTTAACCTTTAGTTTGACCATATATTTATTATTTATTAAAAAATACTTTCAAATACATGCCTTCATTTTAATTTCATTTGACTTTTATGAGGTGATGGACAAGTCAGAGCTAATAATAAATGGCTTAGTGACAAACCTTTGCCAAATCAAACAAACTGTAATTCAACAGAGCTTTCCAATAACGCCTTCAGTGTTTCAGACCTTCTGTGTCTGCTGTTGCCTTTTTCTCAAATTCCTTTACAACAAGCACTCTATGTCACCACTCCCCTTTTGATGCTATTTTTAACAGATTACTTAGATTTCAGGCAACATTGAGCCTCCATTTAGCTATCATTTATTTATGTATTGTAATCTTGAGTTAGCTCTTTTATGGCTTTGAACCTTAGAGATGATTGTAGCGATGTTATCTCTCCTGTAGCAGTAAAAGGAGACAAGAGAGACAAAGGCTGACTTTTCCTCTCCCACAAAGGAGCATTCAAGGACTAAACATGACTGTCAGAAATGTACTTTGTAATATCAACCTTTGAGGGGACCCCTGGTCAGCCTGATGGTGGATAAGTGGAGCAGCTGTCTCTGCCAGATCTGTTCATTCACCTGACAGCCTGTCAGACAAGGAGTTCTCAGAAAAAAGTGGCTGAATGTGAGCTGCAGTTGTCACTTTGGTGGCAGCCTGTCCTGAGCTGCCATTTTCTCCAGCTGTTTGAGGGGTAAGTGTGGGATGTGTGCATGGGAACTTCAGCAGGTCCCAGTGCCCTGGATTTAGTGTGTAGAGTGCTGCCTTCCCCTGAGCCATAGGTCCAGGCAAGTCATAACAGAGCCTGGCACACCCCAGTCTTGCTCCTGGAAGATGTTATGGGACCCAGTTCTGTCAGTGTGCATAAAGGTAACATATTACTAAGTATAATTTTTTTAACTATCATATTTTCATAGACCTATCAAGATGTGAAAAAAGCGCATCCTTCAGCGTGGAGTTTCTTTGTCTATTTGCTCAGGCAGCAAATATTTCCTAGGTTAAGACATGGAATTTAGAAAAACACAGTTACGTGATTCAGTTTATTATGTGTATGTGTGATCATAGTACTATGGTACAAAAGCTTTTCCTCTTACTTTTTTAAAAGTACGTATGTAATACGTAATAAGTTATGTTATAATGTAATAATATATAAAATTATATATTTATTTATTTATTTAACCATCTGAAATTCAACCATGGCAAATGCAGGGTCCTGCACCTGGGAAGGAATAACCCCAGACACCTGTACAGGCTGGGGGCTGACCTGATGGGAAAGCAGCTCTGTGGAGAAGAACCTGGGGATCCTGCTGGAAAACAAGCTGTCCATGAGCCAGCACTGTTCCCACGTGGCCAAGAAGGCCAATGCTAACCTGGGGTGCATCAAGCAGAGCATTCCCAGCAGGTCAGGGGAGGTGATTTTCCTCCTCTACTCAGCCCTGGTGGGGCACATCTGCAG